TGGGAAAGCGAGTCCTCCGCGGTGGCCGAGCGCGGCCGCCATGGCGCCGGCGGCTCCCGCGGGCGTCCCTCGACCCCGCCTGGGTTTCGCCACGCGCAATCCACGGCCCGTCTCGTGTCGCGTCGGCGCCTCCGGTCTCGCCCGACTGGGTCCAGACGACTTTTAATACGTGGGGGAGTTGCACCCTCAGTCTGGCCTAACACGGGCGCAACTGATGGGTTGCGGGCTTAGCAGGGCGCTGTCCCGGCGGTGCTTCCGAGCAGCCTGCTGTACCATCGGAGTCCTGCCGCTCTCCTGAAGTCCTGTTCGGATTTTTTTTTTTTTTTTTTTTTAAAAGAAAAGAGGTCCGGGCTCGGTGGCTCAGCCTGTAATCCCGCGCCTTTGGGAGACTGAGGTGAGTGGATTGCCTGCGCCCGCGGGTTCGAGACCCACCTGGGCGGCGAGACCTCATCTCTACAATAAATCAAAAAATCAGCCGGGCGTGGTAGCGCCTGCCTGTAATTCCGGCTACTCGGAAGGCTGAGGCGGAAGGATCGCCGGAGCCCAGCAGGTCGAGGCTGCGGTGGCCGGGAGCGGCCACTGCCCTCCAGTCTGGACGACAGAGTGAGACGCCAACTCAAAAAAAAAAAAGAAAAGAGGAAGAACTACTTTCTGAGCACCATAACGGGGCATCTTATTACTCGACTTACTTTGCGTCATCCGCCCTCCAACCGTTAGTCCTTTCAAAGGGCGAGGCATGAGGCAACTGTCAAAGTGCGTCCTAAAACATCCTGCCTGCCACGTGGCTTTTTCCAAAAACAGGAGTCGATATTGGCACAAGAATGTTTACTGTAACGTGGTTTTTCACAAACACTAATAGGAAGCGACCTAAACATCCATCAGAATTACACGAAAATATATTCATACCGTGTATTTCTAGAGAGCTGCTAAGAGAAATGAAATAGTTTGATGATGGCGTGAGAAATCGACCAGAGGCAGTTGCAGAATAATGTGTATGTGTTGTTTCATGTATGTCTTTAAGTTATATAAACATGTGTATGTGCATAGGTGTATGCAAATGCATAGGAAGAGAACCCAAAGAGAACATTAAACAAGAGAGTGTTGGCCAAGCATGGTGGCTCACACCTATAGTCCCGGCGCTTTGGGAGGTCAAGGTGAGAGGATTGTCTGAGCCCACGGGTTCGAGGCCAGCCTGGGCCTCATCTCTACAATAAGTAAATAAATAAATAAATTAGTCGGGTGGAGCGGTGCATGCCTGTAGTTCCAGCTACTTGGAAGGCTGAGGTGGAAGGATCACCTGAGCCCAGCAGGTTGAGTACCGTGGCTGTGAGCGTGCCACTGAACTCCAGCTGGGCAACAGAGTGAGACTCCAACTCAAAACAAAAAACTATTTTTTTTTTCTCCCAGTGGCTACCTGGGAAAGAGAATATCTTGGTGAGTAGAGAATGGGTATTTCAAGCTCTTATGTGTTTGAAATTTTTGACAGTGAGGACTCATTAGGGTTTTACTCATGTAATCTTAAAAAGTACCACAATAGCTAATTTAATCAATGCAGATAAAAGGTCTTTTGAAGAGCATTCTTCTGAGGTCACAGGTTCTGTCATGGGTCAAATATTTATTGGGTGCCCACTGGGTACCATGCTAGATGCAGAGACTATAAAACAGACAAGAAAGTTGGATCGCTGATCCTATGGTGCTTACAATCTCAGTGGGCATGATAGAAAGAAGGAAAAGGAAAGTGAAAATAACAGGCATCATTAAGACCTGATGACTGACGAATCTTTTTTCCTTTACTTTATGTGTGATCCTTAGTTTGACTTTGTTGTATTCTTAACATTTGCATTAATCACTGTAATTAATCTCCCAACAGCTCATTGTGATAAATTGAAGCTACAAGTTAGAGCAGTTTGAATCTGCAAGCATGCTAATCTATTAAAGTTAATAGATTAGTAGCAAGAGGCAGTGTCATGAAATAATTAAAAGCACAATTTTGACTGCCAGATTGCCTGAACCAAATCCTGGCTCTGCCACTTACAAATTACATGGCCCATATGATCTTGGGCCATGTAACTTAAACTCTGACTCAATTTCTCTTCTATAAACTAGGAATAAAAATAGTAAACACCGACTTAAAGTCTATAATACTGAGTGATCTTTCACAGAGACAAAGAACTGAGTATCACGTGTTCTCACTCATAAGTGGACCTTGAACAACTATTGTAATACTATAAGAAAAGGATTGACAACAGCGGGAAACTGCAGGGGGGTGGGGGTGCAGGGAGGTGGGATTGGCAGTAGTGGGAATCTGCCTGGGGAAGAGGAAGCACACCTCATCAACAAGGGTACCTGCAAAACGAATATTTGTATGCCTAACCCTGAATTGTACCCGCAATTTTAAAGTAAAAAAATAGTAAGCACCTTATAGGATTGTTATGAGGACTAACTAGTTTGTACCTGCAAGGTACATAGAATAACATCAACCACATACTGTAGAATTGTTTGCTATTACGGATCAATATAGAGTTTTATTATGAAAAATATTTCAAGGATTGCCTGTCTTGAACTTATTTAAGTCAAATTCCATAGCCTAGAATTTCCATTGTTGCTATAAAATTACAAATAGCATACCAAATATAAAAGCACATTCACTAAATGATAAGTGCTATATGAAAGCTATTTATTATAATAGGTATCTACATTTCTTAGACCTAGTATATAGAAGTCAAATAATCATTTTGAAGAATTAATTATTCTTCATTCTACTACTCATTGAAAGGCAAGCTTGGAAATAGAAAAGAAACGTTTTATATGGACTGTATTGTGCTATTCTGAGAGCTTCGGCAAACGTTAGAACAGCTGCCTATCTAGAAGGTGGGTGCCTGCCTGCCAGTTCCTAGGAATCCCTGCCTTTAACATACAGGCCATAAACCCACACCTTAGGTACCAGTTTATTCCATACCAATTTTTTTTTTGAGTCAGTCTTACTCTGTTACCAAGGCTAAAGTGCAGTGGCACGATCGTGGCTCACTGCAGCGTCAACCTCCTGAGTTCAGGCAATCCTTCACCTCACCCTCCCAAGTAACTGGTAATACAGGCACATGCCACCACACCTGGCTAATTTTTTTTTTTTTTCAGAGACTAGATCTTGCTATGTTGCCTAGGCTGGTCTTGAACTCCTGACCTTAAGTGATCCTCCTGCCTTAGCCTCCCAAGGTGGTAGGATAGCAGGAGTGCACTACCATGCCAGCTCCCAAAAATACATATTTTATATAGGTAAGATCTTGATGAATTTGCTTCTTAATTTACATTTGAAATATTCTTCCCATAATTGAAAATTTAAAGTAATAACTCTAATAAAGTTATTTCCCTCAGTAATTTGTCACAGAGTTCTTTGTATACCTGTCAAAAAGATTCCTAATATGTTAATTCATGTATTTATTTACAAAATAATTTCTCACTTGGACAATTACTATAGATCTGTGACAGGTCTTTCTCCAGTGTCCACATTCTCTGAGTGAAGTTTCTCAAAACCTATCTGACCAGGTCATGCCCTATTTAAATCCTTCCCTTTGCCTTTGGCATGGAGTTTGTGCTTCACGGGATGTGACTAACACAAGGCTTCTTCCAATCTGCTCTTTGATTTAAGTGATCCTTGTACTGGCGATTAATTGATAATTGTGGGATCTTATCAATTACCATTGTATCTGATTCCCTGAATTCTCAGGTTGGACTGAGTGCTTTAGCTTTGTGCTTCCATAGTATTTACCACTTTGAAGTTATTGATGATATAATTGTCTCCCCTCTTAGGTTATGTGTTACTTTCCTGTTGCTGCTATAACAAATTGCTACACCCTTAATGGCTTAAAACAGTTCACATATTTTATCTTTCAGTTCTAGAGATCAGAGGTCCGAAATTGGTCTCACAGAGCTCAAGTCAAAGTATCAGAGCTGGTTCCTCTTGGACCCTCAGAGGAGAATTCATTTCCTTGCCTTTTTTATCTTCACGTTTCCTACTCTTGACTGATCTCCTCTTGTCTTCCTCTTATAGTGACCCTTGTGATTACATTGAACTCACCCAGATAATCCAGGATAATCTCCCTATCTCAAAATCCTTAATCACATCTGCAAAGTTCCTTACATATGTGAGGGGCGAGGGCACAGTGGCTTATGTCTGTAATCCCAACATTTTGGGAGGCTGAAATGAGAGGATAGCTTAAGGCCAGGAGTTTGAGCCCAGCCTGGGTAACATAGCAAGACCTCATCTCTACAAACAAAAATTAAAAATTGGTTGGTCATGGTGGTACACACCTGTAGACTCAGTTATTCTGAAGGCTGAGGTGGGAGGATCACTTAAGCCCAGGAGATCAAAGACTGCAGAGAGCTATGATCATGCCACTGTACTCCAGCCAGGGAGACAAACTGAGAAACTGTCTTTAAAAAAATAATAAATTTGAAAAATTTTAAAAACATGTAACACAT